TGTGCGGGCTCTGCTCTGCCTTTCCTGTGGACCCGCCCCAAAGCACCACGCGCCCCGCTGGCCTCTCAGTCCAGGGCCACCCTGCCGTCCACAGGCAGCTCTGGCCCAGCCTGGACGGGCCCCACAGCCTCCAGGGACGCAGGTGCCCGCGAGTGCCAGAGGGTGCCCTAGCCGAGGGGGCTTCCCTCCCACTGCCAGCCCATGGCACCCACCCGGTGGTCACACCACACCCCAAGACCCTCTCCTTGCCGCCCTCGTGCTGTGAAGTGCCCAAAACAGCCGCAGAAACCACACGGGCTCATGGAAGTGGGGCTCAGAGCGGGTCTACGCCACGGTGTGCGAGCGGCGCCTCTGCCCAGCCAGCCGGCCTCCAGGGGCTCCCCGTGGCGCGTCGGCAAGGGGCCTCTCCAGTGGCCACGGAACACCCCTCCCACATGTGGCACCAGGGCATTAGGTGCCCGGTCCTGGGTGAGCAGTGAGAGGCCCGTGCCTCACTGCCACCCCTTGCCCCAGGGGCGCGCCCGCCCCCAACACCCAACCTTCGCTCGGGGCCAGAACATGGGATTAAGCATTTTAGCCTCCAAAGAGGGAAACAGTCTTCTCCAGACACCCCAAATAAAGATACCTGTGCTCTCCCGGGACCCGGCACGTGTCGGGCAGACCGTCCAGAAGCAGCGTCCAGCCACAGGGAGGCCGCGGCGCCGACTCCCACCCAGAGAGACCCAGACTGTCCCAGTGGCCCCGCCCGGGCCCCGCTCCCGCCTCCAGCAGGCCAGGGCTCCTTAAGGCGAGGGCGAGCACGAGATCTGGGCCTGGGCTGATCACTGATTAACCGCCGGTGACCCTCAACCCCTAGTTCTCTGTTATCAACTGAGAACAACCGGCAGAGGCCCCTCGGGAGCAGCGTCGGGGGCCTGAGGGCACTGAGCTCAGCTGGGCAGGGCCACTCCTCGAAGCCCGCGTCCCACCTCATGCAGGCGCGGCTCCCAGCAGCACCAGCGGTGGGTGCCGGCCAGTCCCTGCCAGGGATAGGAACCCGTCCTGGGGTGAAGGTGGTGGCGGCCATCGTGTGGACAGAGAGAGGCCAGGCCAGGTAGTCAGCGTTTAGAGTGGGTGACACAGGACACAGGTGTGGCCGTGGGGGGGGGCAGGGACACGTGACAGGGCCTCTGCAGAGGACACCGGAGCCCGTCCAGGCCGGGGGCTCGGTGGGAGCACCGCGCTTGGAAACGCAGGTCTGGAAATACCAGGACCAAGCTCCACGCCAAACCCTTCCGCTGCCGTGACGAGGGCAGGCAGGCACGGGCGAGCCGCAGGGGTCCCGCCGCCCGGCACCGTGAGGGCAACGGCCAGGGCAGAGGAGCAGAGTAACGGGTGAGATCCTGCGAGGACAGAAGCCCAAGGAGGAGGACGGTGGATGACGCAGCAGGACGTTTCGCCATAGGAAGGGGGACACAGAGACCCCCAGAAGGAAGGCACCGAGGAAGAGGGTCACACGAGAAGCAGAGGCTTCGGGTGGGAAGAGTGTGACGTGGGAACGGTGGCCTGGTCTGCTGAGTCCACCCTGCCCATGGCGGGGAGGGGGCGCTGGAGGCCCCAGAGGCCCAGGCGAGCAGCGTGGGCTCGTGGAGAAAGCGGGGGGAGCAGAGACTGCTGGGCCTGGAGGGGTCTGCGCCGATGAGGTTGGGGGCCGCACACAAGCCCTTCCCCTCGCAGGCAGCAGCGGGCCCAGCAGCGGGCAGGGGCGAGCCCTGGTGAGGCGCGGGCCAGGCCTACGGGCGCCGGTGAAGCTGCTGGTGCGGGGGTTGGGCGACCGCAGGACAACGCACTTCCACAAGGCCCAGGTCAGCAACCCCTGAGCGCCGACAGCCAACGAGGCCGACGTGTGCGTGACACAGAGCACAGTGGGGGCCACGTCCAGAGCGTCTGTGCCAGGACTTCGCGCCGCCCCCAGCTCCGGCCCCAGCGCTCACGGCAGCGCCCCCCACCCCCACGCAGGCAGCCGGCAGCGGGCAATCAGGACTCAGACAGAGGACGCAGTCAGGGGACGCAGACGGGCTCCAGACCTTCCCACCGGACAACCACGGGCCGGGCCACGGGAAGCCAAACCAGCTAGAGCAGGATCGAAACTCTTCGAGAAGCCAGAAGGGCCAGCATGGCCACTCCTGTCCCAGCAGCCCTCGTCATGCAGCGGGTGACCGGGGGCTCCACAGACACCCCCCTGCAGGACACGCCAAAGCAGACCCTCGCCCCAGGAGGGACAGCAGCCTCAGCGAGGGCCCAGGGGGACGCCAGGGCCACAGGGCGGCAGCCGTCCTGCCCGACGCCGAGCCTCCAATCAACGGCCCGTGCAGCAGACGACAAAGGCCCAGCAGGTCCCACAGGCAACTAAGACACAGCGTTCCCCAAAAGGAGTGACAAGATCGGAAACAGAAGGGGTTCCCAGCCCCGGCTGACACGCCCTCGTCCGCGGCTCCTCTCTGGGGGACCTGGAGCCACGGCGTCTCATGCAGCACGAGGGGACAAGTTATTGCAATTCTTTAAATTTTTAGAAATGAATGTATGAAAATAAGAGAATTAAGTCTCCAATTTAAAAAGTAGCAGTAAAGGGCCTCCCTGGTGGCGCAGCGGTTGAGCGCTGGGTTGCGAAGCTGCCCGCAGCCTCTGCGGCGCCGGTTCGATCCCCGGCTGCTCCCCGGCCACCAGAGGAGGGTCCCGCATGGCGCGCAGACCTCTCCTGCCGCCCGCTGCTCCCCTCAGCAGTGTCCTTCGGTCCTTCTGCCTGCTCTGCTCCCCGCTCTGGCTCTGGTGAATTCTCTCACCCTCCCGCGCTTCTGACTGTACCCAGTGCTTGTGTAAATAAATAAATAAATCTTAAAAAAAAAAAAAAAAAAAAAAAGAAAACCATTTGTTAAAAAAAAAAAAATAAAAAATAAAAAAAAAAAATAAAAAGTAGCAGTAAATTACAAAGAACTCAAAACGTTAATAAAGGTCAAAGCAAACAAAAGAGTCAGAAAAAACTAATTTATAGGCATGTTCTTAAAAGCTAAAATGTAAAAAGCTAAAATGGTAAAGCTTCCGTAGCTAAATTCTGGGGAAAACTGATAAAACAAAAGTCGCTGCAGTAAAGCCCGCCAGGGGGAGGCGCATAGACAGACACAGGCTGGGAAAGAGGACTAACCCCCGAGAGGCTGCGCGGGGCGGGGTGGGTGGGGGAGAGAAGGGCTCGTCTCAGCGCAAATAAATCTGAAAACCGGGGCGCAGTGGGTCATTTGCTAGGAGACAAAAATTTCCTGAAAAGCGACAAAGGAGACAGGAGCGCGAGCAGGCGGCCGGGCGTGCCTGGGGGACGTGGGGGCAGCGCTGACTGTCGCCGGCCCGGGGGCTGCAGCGAGGGCCGTCCCAGCGCCGTCCACCCCAGGACGCAGAGCCGGGGACGCCACGTGCTCCAGAGGGGGGACCCCCGCACCCACACCCGCCGCCAGCCACGGCCTCGGCCGTCCCCTTGGGGGGCAGGAGCGCAGGGTTTCGCCCATGGGAGGCACGGCCTCTGGGGTCAGCCCTGTACCCACCTCAACACCCGGGCTCCACCCTGGGCTCTCCTGGTCACGTGGAAGCAGCCCCGAGAGCAGGGCGGGATGGCTGGGCAGTGGGCACAGGCGGCGCCTCACGGCAGCTCCATGGCCAGCACAGCTCCCACCCGCCCCGAGGGCAGACGTGCCCCGTCACCCAGCCCCCGCCAGGCACCGGGCACTTCCGCCCAGTGTCCCTGTCCCCGCCGCATCACAGGACCGGCGGCACGAGGACCGTCCACCACCAGCCACAGGCGGCCCCCAGAGCGTCCTCGGAGGCCTGACCGGCGCCCAGCGTGACGCTGCGCGGGCGTGACCAGACTGTGAGCCGTCGGAGGCCGCGGCTCTCCCGGGAGGCGTCAGCGGTGCACGAGGCCCACGCTGCCCCCCGGCCTCCCCCACCCTCCGTGGCCGCAGTCACCACACCTCCTTGTCCGGCCCCGGGAACACGGGCTCAGCGGGCTTCCACCCGCAACCTCCGAATGCCCGCCCTCCGGGGCATCTGCCCCGCGCCCTGCACGCAGCCCTGGGCTCCGGCTCCGGCGCCTGCCTCCACCCGCCGTGCCATGGAAGCCGCCGTCATGTCCTAACACCCCAAAGCCAAGAAACTCTGCTGACTGAGAGTGCCGGAGCCGAAGCCCCCAGGGCCAGCGGGCGGAGCCCCCCTCCAGCCCGGCCGTGGACTGCCCGAGGAGGCTGAGGCTCCCGACAAGGGCAGCAAGTGCTGCACACGGAGCCTCCGCCTGAGCCAAGGCGCACGTCCACGCAGGCAGACCAGCATGGGGCGCAGACCGGGGCTGCAGCCGGGCGCCGCGGAGCCCAAAAGGAGGTATGTGGGGGAGCGCGAGCAGGGGGAGGGGGCCTGGGGCCCGGGGGGTCCCTCCTGGCCAGGCACTGTCCTCAGGCCGGACGGACTCGGTGCCCAGCAGGGTGCGGCCATCAAGGCTGCTGCTCGTCCCAGCACCTCCTGGGACGTCCCGACAGGAGCCCACCAGCCTGCGCTCCAGGCCAGGCCCGCCCAGGACATCTGGGCAAGACAACCGCCGGCCCCACTGGGCCTGCTAACAAGAGCCAGGTGACGCCCCTCCTGGCCGCACCTGGCAAGCTTCCCCTGAGCTCACCTTCTGGACTTTGGACAAATGAGAGTTGATGACAGACATCTTTCGGCCCCATAACAAAGGTCGAGCCTGTGTGCCCCTCAAGAAAAGAACAGAGTCGACGTGGCCCGACACCACCCCACAGCGTCACCCAAGCCGGTCAGTGAGCTGGACCCCTGGATGCCCTCGCTGTCCACAAGGGGCGGGCTCGGGTCTCTGGGGCAGGACCCACTGCAGGGAAGAGAAATGCACGCGCACGCACACACACACACACACTCTTGCACACGCACATCCTCCGCCCCCAGCGTGGGGCGCCCTTCTCCCAACTTACCCAGCACCGGGTCGGCACTTGTGGGAGCAAACGTCCTTGGGTCCCGGCTTGCAGGGCTGAAAGCGAAGGCAGGAGAAGCACAGCTACAGGACACGCAGGCCCCGAACGCAGCCCGCACGTGGGGGAACTGACCGCCACGAGGCCCGTCACTTCCCGGAGAACCCAGCAGCCCACGGGCGAAGGCACACACCAGGGGCGCGGCCCACGGGCCTCACTGCTGCCCGCACCTGGTCAGGAGGCACGGCCATGGCTTGCAAAGAGACAAGCCCGAGAGACCCAGGAGGACAGCAAGGCGGCTTCGGCCTCCCTTGAGGGCCTGGGGAGCGGCCGCTGCGGCGGGTCCCACCTTGGGAGCGAGCGGCCTCCGCCCCGCTGGGTCAGAGCAGCCGGGCCCTCAGCCGCCAGCGAGGGCGCAAACCTGCGTGCTGCCCCGGTGACCGTGCCTGCTCCTGTTGAATCATGCTGAGACGCGCATGCCATAGTTTGGTTGTTTCTTAAAAAAATTTATTTATTTATGCACACAAGAGCTGGGGTACAGGCCAGAGGTGTGGGGGGTGAGAGGATTCACCAGAGACAGAGCGGGGAGCAGAACAGGCAGACAGACTGACATACACTGCTGAGGGGAGCAGCGGGGAGACAGGAGAGGTCTGCCGCGCCCTGTGGGTAGCTCCCTGGCCGGGGATCGTACCTGTGCTGCAGAGGCTGCGGACAGCTTCCTGGTGCTGAGATCCCTGCGCCCTCAGGGAGCCCCCAGGGAAGCTTTACTTGTAAGATTTAAAGAGTGTGAAACTTTAATTTTAAAAAGCCTTCTGGGGCCTCCCCAGGGGCCTAGCGGTCAGTCTCGGGCTATTACCACTGTGGCCTGAGTTCCATCCCTGTACAATCACGTACAAAAAAGCAGCCCCCCCTCCCAGAAATGCAACACAACCGCAAGACGCAGCACAGACACCCTGGCAATGGATTCAGTGCCCCCAAGTCTCTTTTTCTTATGAAAAATTTTGGGGCGGGCCTCCCCTGGTGGCGCAGCGGTTGAGCGACACGCTGTGAAGCTGCCCGCAGCCTCTGCAGTGCCAGTTCGATCCCGGCCAGCTGGCGAGGGTCCCACATGGCACACAGACCTCTCCTGCCCCCCGCTGCTCCCCTCAGCAGTGTACTTCAGTCATTCCTCCTGTTCTGTTTCCTGCTCTGTCTCTGGTGAATCCTCTCACCCTCCCACGAGACTGGCCTGTGCCCCGGTTCTTGTATAAATAAATAAATAAATCTTTAAAAAAAAAATAAAGAAAAATTTTGGGGCCTCCCTGGTGGCGCAGGGGGTTGAGACGCGGCCTACGGGGCTGTCCGCAGCCGCTGCAGCACGGGTTTGATCCCCAGCCCGGGAGATTCCCACAGGGCCCAGCAGACCCTCCTGTCTCCCCGCTGCTCCCCCCAGCAGTGGATTTCAGTGGATCTGCCTGATCTGCTCCCCACTCTGTCTCTGGTGAATCCTCGCACCTCTGGCCTGTGCCCCTGCTCTTGTATGCATAAATAAATAAATCTTAAAAATAAATAAAAAGAAAAGAAAAACGTGGGAGCAGAGGAAACTGATCCTTGTTTAAAGATAAGTCCACGCTAAATGACAAAGTAGAATTACTCATCGCCGCTGCCTTTTCGATTTTCTTTTTTCCTGAAAACAGCTCCTATTTATAAGAAGTTTGCGCCTTATTTCTATCTCCTCTCGCCCCCTTGTCTGTCTCTCTGTCCCCACCTCCCCCACCCCTGGTCTCTGCCCCCCTCTCTCCCCCACCCCTGGTCTCTGCCCCCCTCTCTCCCCCACCCTGGGTCTCTGTCCCCCTCTCTCCCCCACCCCCGCATCCCTGCCCCCCCATCGGAAGGACAGCCAGGATCAGCCGCAGCCCGAGCGGCTCTCCTGCCAGCACAGTCACATGCTGCAGCTGTCCCGTGGCCCAGGTCTGCTGGCCGCTCCTCCGTGGGGCGAGCAGGGGTGGGGGCAGGGGTGCTTCTCCAGAGCTCTGTGGCTGTTTGCAGGCTTTGGTGGGTGTGAGTGGCAGCAAAAGGAGTCTGGCAGAGTCATGCTATCGCACGAGTCCACCCTTCCACCAACGTGGGTTCGGGTTCTGACACGTATTCGCAAAGGTCACGCATGTGTGGGAAACACGCGGAACAAGCAAGACTGCTGAGCGCAGGGAATCACTGTCCGGCCGCTGAGACGCATCCCTGGCCGCGAGGGGCCGAAGCTCCGGGTCCCAGGGCCTCCGAGGACCCACCGAGCAGCCTGCACCCCGGAAGCCGCAGGAGGACGGCAGAAGCCCCAGGGTGGTGCCCGCAGCCCCCAGCTGGCCGTCCCCACTCTCAGGCCGGTGGCTTCCGGGATCCGCAGGTGGACTCGCCGTGGAGACGCAGCCTCCGAGAGCCGCGGGCTCCGGCCCACAAGGACGTCCAGCCCCAGGCGGCCGTGGTGAGGACCCCACCCCGGCTCCACCCCGGCAGCACCGCGGGAGGGCGACCCTGGGGCCAGCGGCGCGGGCAGGGGGTTGGCCCCTTCCTCACTCTCCCTTCTCAGAGCGGCCCCGACCGTCACTGCGGGAGAGCTGTGTCCCCAGCAGCACAGCAGGGGGCCACAGGGGGAGCTGCAGGGAGCCATGCCCACCTGGCCTCTGTGCCGCCACTGCCCACCGGGACAGACAGGCCCCATTGCTATTCTCACCGCTGACCTTGCAGAAGAGACCCGCGTCTCTGCGTCCTCCAACACGGAAGGAAGAGGACTCCGAAGCCAGAACACCAGCGGAGGCGAACCACCTACCAGGCGTCCAGCACGGCCTCCTCCCGTGCTCCAGGAGGAGCCAGGCTGGAAATGTGCACAGCAGCCAGCACCCAGGCCAAGCCCCCTGGGTGCCAGCTGAGACGTCACATCAACCTGTAGCAAGTGGGGGTGCTCGTGCCCTCAGAGGAGCCCATCACACACCCCCATCCCCCCAGGAGGCCAGGGCAGCCTCACGGTCCTCACTGACCACGAGGGCAAGTGGCGGGAGTCAGCAGGGCGGAGGAGCGGGGGAGAGCGGCCAGGGGCCCCAGGCGGGATGCAACAACACTGATGTTCGAGTGTGTGTGTGCGTGCGTGCATGTGTGCGCGTGGGTGTCTGTGGGGAGTGCGAGTGTCTGCATGGGTGTGCGTGTACACATATGGGTGCATGCGTGTGCACACGCACGAGCATCCCAGCTCTGGCTCCAGACCAGGGAAGGCCTCCCAGGCAGTGACAGCCCAGTAGAGCAATAGAAGATTCAGCAGGCGAAGGGGAAGGAAGGTTCCAGAGAACGGCGTGGGGAGGCCCAGGGCAGCAGGCAGCTCAGTGGAGGATCCAGGCGGCGGTGGGTGTGTGTGGGGGGGGGGGCGGTGCCTCGGGAGTCGCCACGACGGCGTCATGCGCTGCTTCATGTGAAACACGCGTGCACAGAAGCAGAAGGGGAGGCACGAAAGGGAAAGGACACCAGGGTGGAGACGCGGGGGAGAGCCGGGGAGGCCCAGGCAGAGGCCTCATGCCCGCGGCGGGTCAGGCAGAGCCGCAGAGCCGGCGCAGGGACCAGCGAGCGCGGCCGGGGCCGGGGGCCTGCAGACGCCGAGCCGGTCAACGAGAGAGCGGCTGAAGTTTCCCCAACTGCAGGAAACACAGCTTGGCCCTCGGGCCGCGCGGCTCCCACGCGGGATGACGAACAGGCCGCGGGAGGGAGGCCGGCCGCGCGCGGGGGCAGAGCCACGGCGGGTCGCACGGCAGGGAGGCCGGAGGCCAGGGCCGGCAGCTCCCCGCGGGGCCCCTCGCCAGTCAGCAGCCGGAGCGGCGGGACCCCACGCCAGAAAGGGGGACGCAACAACGGAAACTTCTAAATAAGAACCGAGCAGTGAAAACGCTCCACACCCCAGCACAGCGGCGCCGCCGCGGCCGCAAACGCTTCACGGACGCCTGGAAAGTAGCTGCGCCCAGAAGCTGAGGCGCCCCGCGCAGCTGGAGGGGCCCGCGGGGCCAGCGGCCAGAACGGAGCTGCGGCGGGGACAGCCCGAGGCCGAGGGCGCCTCGACCGGGAAGAAGGCAGGGAAGCAGGGGCGGAGACATTCGGGGTGACCAGGAGGAGCTCACGTCAGGCAGAGCAGAGATTTAAACATTAGGAGGCATGACGACCTTTGCCCCCCGCGAGGCTCAGCTGCCCTGGGCAGGGTGGGAGGCGGTGGCGGACGCCTGGGTCACCACGCTCCGTGGACGCCACGCTCCACGTCACCCCCCGCCCCGTGGGCTGGCCAAGAAGATCCCGGCAGAGGCGCACGGGTCAGCCCAGGAGCACGTCGGGCGGCCCGGCTGGGGAGGCTGAGGCCCTCGGCTGCGGACCATAGCCCCCGAGGGAACTGGAAAGGGCGCCCTCCCCAGGGCCTCCAGAGGGACAGCACGGGAGACAGCCGCGCCCGAGGGCGCCGAGACGCGGCCCCAGGTCGGGCCCTAGAAAACAAGCTCAGCAACTGATCCAGAAAAGAGAGCGCCGCACCCGTGAGAGGAATCCACCAGGACTCACAGGTCGGTGTGGGGGACGGCGGCCAGACGCGGGCAGGTCAGCACGCACAGCCCCCCAGGCCCCCTCCCCGCCAGGACACTGATGATGCTCAGTGGCAGAAGGAGAAAGACACCGATGGCCCCTCCCACGGGGGGTGCGGGGAGACCAAACAGGCTCGGGGAAGAGACAAACTTGCAGGCAGCCGGAGATCGGGGCGCACAGCCGGGGTGGGGCTAAGGGGTCCAAACGGGGCGGGCAGGGCACACGGGGCAGGTGACGTGGCGGGAGACCGACGGGTCCACCCCCGCGGGAGGAGCTGAATGTCGGGCGGAAGCGACCAGGGTACGAAAATCGAGACGTTCCATGTAACGAGAGGAAGCAGGCCACGCGGCCCGGCGCCGAGCGCGAGGCGGGACGGCCGGGGGGTGGCCGGGGGGCGGCCGGGGGCGGACAGCGAGACAGGGCGGCCGCGAGCCCGCTCACCGCTGACCAGGGCAAAGCACCCTAAACCGTGCGGCCGCCGGGCAGGGGGCGGGCGGGGCGGGGCGGAGAGGGAGCCCACTCAGAGCTTCGCCAAGGACGGCAGAGAAG